AAAAATTAGCCTCTAAATCATTTTAATCACATCTTTCATTTTTTCCCGCCCACTTTGAAAACTTTAACTGAGACATTTTTATGGGAAGCAAAACATTGAGATCTATCCAGCTATTTTATTTTTTTTTGCAAAAATAAACTTGCCTCCTAATAGTCCCAGTTACCCCAGATCCCCAGTTACCTCAGATTTCAAGTTACCTCATGGGTCCAGTTAACTCATAGTCCCAGTTACCCCAGAGCCCCAGTTACCTCAGATTTCCAGTTACCTAATGGGTCCAGTTAACTCAGAGACTCAGTTACCCCAGAGCCCCAGTTACCTCAGATTTCCAGTTAACTCATGGGTCAAGTTAACTCAGAGACCCAGTTACCCCAGAGCCCCAGTTACCTCAGATTTCCAGTTACCTCATGGGTCCAGTTAACTCATAGTCCTAGTTACCCCAGAGCCCTAGTTACCTCAGATTTCCAGTTACCTCATGGGTCCAGTTAACTCATAGTCCCAGTTACCCCAGAGCCCCATTTACCTCAGATTCCCAGTTACCTCATGGGTCCAGTTAACTCAGAGACTCAGTTACCCCAGAGCTCCAGTTACCTCAGAGTTCCAGTTACGTCATTGGTCCAGTTAAGCCAGAGCCCCAGTTATCCCAGAGCCACTGTTACCCCAGAGCTCAAGATACGCCCGGACACAAGTACCCAAGCTTTGCCGGATAAAATACCCTGTGGCGTCGGTGCTATACATCCGGATCATCAGATCGTTGGTGGTGGCACCTACATCAGAGCGTGCATTTTTATGGCAGGTGGCTCTTCTGGGCCATGGAAGTTACGGTGGTGGAGTCCTCATTTCTAATTCTTGGGTTCTGACGGACACCTGCCTTTTTTTAGAAAGAAAAATAAACTGGTAGCCGGTTAAAGATCTGTGCATTTTCTTAGGTGTTAAGGATGACCCTTTCGCCGAAAAAAAACAAAAAACAACAACTTCGTTTATGTCCATAAAACATTTAATTCACCCGAACCTGTTCACGACATCGCGCTTATATCGTTAACTAGTGGACGACTTCATTGACTTTGAACCTTGCTTTGCTTCTGGGTTTTGGGGGAAATCCAATCAGACGTCAAACAATTATTTTTGGCAGAGAATGTGAGTCATGGCTCAAAATATCTGCTTCTATATGTGCAGATTGAACTTACAACTGATTGATGGGCTTCATTCAGATTTAGCCGTGACCAGGACATTCAGGGGACATTTCGGCATCTGTAGGACATTCAGTGGGACCTTAAGGCATCTGTAGGACATTAATGAGGACCTTTAGGCATCTGTAGGACATTCAGGGGACATTTAGGCATCTGTAGGACATTCAGGGGACATTTAGGCATCTGTATGACATTTAGTGGGACCTTAAGGCATCTGTAGGACATTCAGGGGACATTAAGGCATCTGTAGGACATTCAGGGGACATTTAGGCATCTGTAGGACATTCAGTGGGACCTTAAGGCATATGTAGGACATTCATGAGGACCTTTAGGCATACACATCTAGATAGATAGATAGATAGATAGATAGATAGATAGATAGATAGATAGATAGATAGATAGATAGATAGATAGATAGATAGATAGATAGATAGATAGATAGATAGATAGATAGATAGATAGATAGA